ATCTTAAATTCTATATTAGATAAAAATCTAAACCGAAAAAGGAATGTCAGAAAAGGCACCTTAAGTCACGAACTGATTCTTTGTGAGCAGACTTATTGACCTTAACATTATTCATGTTGTTCTGCCAATACCTAAAAGGTAAATTCACAAATACGCTTACAACAGAGAAAAAAATATGACTAAGCCAAATAAGAATTCACAAGCATGAAAGCAGTAACGTTAAATCACACAACAAAAGAATGTGAAGAATACATACTTTATTGCACCTCCATCATCACCAGAAACCATCCAGTTGTCATTGTGACTCCATACCATAGACCTGATGGCTTGATCATGGGCCTAAGTATTTTAAGGGGAATAAAAGGTCCAAAAGTCATCAATTTAGAATCTCTAATGAATAATCCTAACTAAATAAGATAAATATGTCAGTTAATAGAAGTATACCTGAAGAATCATTTCAAAATTGAATGATTGTCCATTCCATAAAGTAAATTCTCCACTCTGAGAACCTGTGATGAGACGTCTACCCGTAGGAGTCCACTAAAGGGGGAAAAAACTCAGTATAACTGCTCTAAATTAGTAACTTCAAACAAAAATCCTTTTTCTCCCTTTGGGAAGTAGGGGGGGTTAAATTGGTGTTCCAGAGAAGGCAGAAAAAAACAACAGTAAAACCAAATCCCTTCACACACAAAGTCGTAAACAATTGCAAAAAAGAAGCATCATCAATAGCAACAATAACAAGTTAAGCTTTTTCCACGAACAATAACAAGTTAAGCTTTTTCCATGACATCAGCTGTCATTACCATAAAAAACATCAAGAGATAAGGCATGTAAACATGCAAGTATAAAAAGGAAGTTGCTTCTATTAAGTATCACTACTTAACTATACCTAATAGTAAACCGAGGATAAAAAATAATTAAGACAAATTGGATGGCTTTTATCTATCTGATATCCAATTGTTGATTGAGATAGCCTTTGTTGGGTAAACAAGAAATCCCAAACTTTTAGAAGTTAATTTAATTTGATGGGTATGTGATCACATTAAACAAATTAAGACAGCATGAGTTATCATTTCTTGCAAGAAAAGCTAGTTATGGAGCCTTTCAACTTTTTAAAAAAAAATATCAATCCCAAAGTCAGATGCCAAACAATTCTGGGCCCCATTGCTTCCTAGTTCCTAATTATCAAGCAAGACTGAAGCATTTAATCACAGAAATACTAGAACATAATTGCATGAGATTGATTCTAATTTAACTCCCTGAGGAAACATAGTGTACCAAAAAAAAATTCTAATCTAACTCACCAAAATGCGATTTATTGAACACCGGTTTTTGTTTAGTGATGTATGAACAAATTTGGCAGCGAAGCCTGTGGATGGGTTATCTAAATAGGCAGCTGCAGGCAACATCTGCATGAAAGATCAACAGAAGTACAAGTTAAATCTTAAAATTCATAATCCAAGAAACAAAAGAAAAAAGAAAAAGAAATTTTAGTAACATCGATTGCAGCTGCTGGTGTAGGCTGCAAAGTTGTCCTGTCCCTTGCATCCCGCTGTGATATTCGAACCTGCATAATCACAGCTATTATTAGATTACAAGTATGTCACCCTCATTTGAGATTCAAAAGGAAACAAAAAATGTGTTTGCTATCTTACATAAGAGAACATGCCCCTCAAACAAAATAAACACAGATATAACAACAACTATGATTCAGATAATCTGCATTATTTTTCCTACGAATATAAACCAATACACCCCTAATCATGAAAGGTGATTATGGGTGTAATGGTAGGATCTAGTCATGAATCATGAACTGATTATGATACACGCAATTGACTGATATTTGATCCAAAAAGTAATTAAGAGCAGCTACTATGAGCAACTACAACATAAAAACATTTCTGGACATCAACTTAATATTGTCCCTACATAGCACAAAACCATACAGCTTAACACCATACAGGATTGAATACAACAGTCGAGCAACATCAAATCCATGTAACAAAAAAGCACAAAAAGCTATAGAAGGAAAAAGGCTGTCAGTAAAGCAAATTGAATAATAAACTTGGCAAAACGCTACAGAAGGAAAAGAGAGAAATCAACGATCATTTTGATATAAGAGCAGGCTTTCAACCACAAAAATTATAGAAGCAACATAAGCCATGTAAAAAAAACATAAGCACCCACGATAATAAGAATCACCATTCTGACCATGCAACCACTTATAGAAAGATATATAAAAATACATATGAAAGTGGCAAAACATGAAAATATCACCTGCATATATCGCACAACAGTGCTACTATAATCAACAGCCCTCCTCTGGGTCATCTTTCTCATTCTTTTTGCAGCAAAATTGTCACCATGAGCTGAAAGAAGTATTTAACAGAAAAGCAAAAGAATTAGTTAGCTAATTTCTCAAGTGAATTGCAACTCATAATCTAAACACGCAGTTGAGATAAGCCATATTTTTTAGACCTAGAAGTGTTACCATAATATAAGGCTCATGGTGCAAAATGAACCTAAAAGTGTAAATACATTGCCTACAACCAATCGAAGCAAGTAACTATTTTTAGATGTGGTTTAGTATGCAATCACCTAAACTTTGGATTTCAAGAACCAAGTAACTATTTCTTGATAGAATTCTTACAATGTCCACTAATTTGAACTAAAACAAATGCAAAACTGTAAGCAAAAGAATCTGAGGAATTATTATTCTACCGTCATAAGGAAGATTCTGAGGAGGAGGAGGAGCATGGTGGTGATACTCTGAGTTAAGAGTAGTAGAAGATGCTGAGGGCTGCCGCGTCATTTGAAGAGGCGGAGGACCTCTCTGAAACTCCCCACCTTGCGGGTGCGGCTGGTTCTGCTGCTGCTGTGGATCACCGTACATCATTGGAAAAACCCCGGAGAAACTAAACCATATAACGGTGAAGAACTGGAGTGAGTGTACTTGCAAAGCACTGAATAAAACCCTAAACCCTAAATTCTGTTCAGGAATTGGGAGCGGGATTTTGTGTAAAGGAAAATGAAAAATAAATCGGGTTTTGGTCTTTACCTATTTATGACAATGGATTAGTATTTATACGATGAACGGTTACTCCGTTTTATTACGAAGGATAACTATATATTTTAGTATCTAAACTTGATCTCAGTGCTCAATTTAGTACCTCTTTATCTAACCTAAATGAACTTTATTTTTTTATTTAAATTGATATCCGAATTTTATTTTATTTTTTTATTTAATTTATTGTTTAATATATTTTTAATCTAATTAAATATTAAATTAAACTTTTTAATTTAAAATATTACTTGAATTTGATTTGATTACATTTCAATTTAGGTAATAAGTAAAAAATGAAAATATTGATAAAGTTTTTTTTAATGTAAAATCAATTTTATTTTAAAAGAGAAAGTATGAAAAAGTATTCTAAAGTCAAAAAGTTAGATATTGTGATAAATTCGGATTTTTTTAAATAATATGTTAAAATAAAGAAATAAATAAAACACAAACTTTGAATAAATAAAGAAAAAAACTCTGAACAAAGCCCAAATATCTTTTATATTTTAGCTTTGACAGTACTTTTCGAAGCCCAAAAACCCTACATTCTTCTTCCGCTTTCTCCACGGCCGCCTCCGCCGAATCTAACACAATTTAGATATCTGTATCGATACTGAATCGCGTCGAAACAGGTCTGCCGTCTGAAACGCTGTTTCCGATCATTGGAGATTTTCAGGTACTCCACACACAAATTATCTAGGAGTCCCATTTTACATTGTTTCCACTTTTTGCACAGTCGATTTTAAGTTATAGGTTAATTGTTCGAAGAATCTTGATATCTATCTCTCCAATACATTCGTGGTTTATGTTAATCACACTGGAACCCCTAAACCTGACTTTAGTTGTTCCTTTCAGTGTGTTGATTTGGGAATTGGGGTAGTAAACAGTTCAGATTTTCTTTTGTATCGTGTTTTAGGTATTTATGTTTATCACGTTAAGAGAATTAGGATTCCTTCACATTTTTACCTTGTGAGATTTCAAGCTCTTTACTTTTCCGCCATTAGAGTAGAGCTGACTTGAGGTAGTGTTCCTCTCTCGAATGCCTCCTTACAGTTACAGAATATGAATTTGGATGGCTATCTGTGAGACTGGCTTTAATTTGGAACTAATATTGGCTGTTTTGTGCGTGTGTATATAAATTGTTTTTAATGCTATGTTGATCTGAATCTTCATTTTCTTGAATTATCCTTGTTGGACACTCGTATCCTATGCATATCGAGAGATAATTATGGGGATATGATCCTTTAAGAACCTTCCAAATACGAGAAAATTGTGGGAAAAAGTTAAAAATACCCATGTTAAACAAAGACCTCGTCAAAATCTCATATCCGAGTCTGAGTAACGTAGCTGTAATATGCTTAGTGCATTGAAACATTTTAACAATTTGGAGACGCCCTCATATAAACTTGTTAGAGAGTCATTTTCTCAATGATAAGGAAACTGTTCATCTCTAGCTTATATATCCATAACTTATTTTTAATGTGCATGTGTATACATCTCCTTGTAGCATCGTTGAAGATATTTAATCTAACTTTCATGTGGATATATAAGCATCATCTCCTATCAGCGTAATTGGTCACCATTTTTTATAGTGCATCACTGCACGCAAGGCTGTCAGCACACAAATACTTCAAAGAAAGATATTTGGAGGAAGAGAAACAAAAGAAAATGATAGAATGTAATTTAACTTTTGGGATGTGTGCATTCAAACATGTCTTGTATGTGTATTTTTGTTGTTTTCCTCCCATTTAAATTCTATATTCGCCTCTGATTATAGTCTGTTTTTTTCACAATAATGGTAGTAGGCACAATTATCTCTCCCCCATTGTGAAGAAGAATATTTGCTTAAGTTGATGTTGTGTCCTGCACTACCCGCTCCTCCTCAAGATCATAACTGTAGTTGTACTTGATTCGGGGGGAAGCGGATTGTCAGAAACAGGAAATCTTTGTTTTGCCAATGGCTGCTTCTACAAAAGTTCTCAACCTTGATAATCCTACTCAAACTGGAGAGTGGACTGTTGTTTTACCCCGTAAGGGCAAACATAGAAGGAATTCCCAGAAAATAACAACAGAAAAAGGACAGCAACATGAACAACAGCCGTGGGTTCCAACCGATCTTGAGGTCGATCCTAAGAGACAATCAAAACTTATGCATAAGATACAAGTATGCATGAAGAAAATTGAAAACTCAAGATTTTTTCTGGTTTTCTTGGATCAGATGCAAAGTCAAAAAACCTTGAATCACTTCCACTCGGTTATGGGATCTGAGTTGAAACTGCAGATGGTAATATATGGTATTGGCAGCATTGAATCTCATGAAACTCCTCGACTTCAACTTAGCCTTGCACTTTTAATTAAAAGAGAGTTTAGCTGGATCGGGGATATAGAGGTGTTTGATCCTGTTCTATCTGCAACTGAGTCTCGGGTTTTAGAAGCCCTTGGCTGTTCCGTTTTGTCTGTTAATGAGCAAGGCCGGCGGGAAGCTAAGAAGCCAACACTTTTCTTCATGCCGCATTGTGAAGCAGAGTTATACAACAATCTTTTACAGGCAAATTGGGGAGTGGAGGCATTGAATCGAGTGGCACTGTTCGGAAATAGCTTTGAAACTTATGAGCATCATGTGTCATTTAAGTACTATGATCAGGAAGTCTCATGTATGGATTCATCTGTAGCTGAATCACTCACACACATCTTAGCCGCCCGAAGATTCACAGACGAACACAGAATCGAGACAATTTCAGATGATTATTTTGCAGCTTTTCATGATTCAAGTTGGCATTTTTTCAGGCTTTCTTGTGAGAAGGAGCTGCAGTTGCATTGAGTTTGCGAAACATATTGTTTGTTTCTAGAATCATTTTGGCGTGATTCAAAACTGCGTGTAGGATTAATTTTTTGCTAAATGCTTCATTTGAATTCTGTAATATATATAAATAACCCTGAAGTTGTGATAAGTAGATCCTGTTAATTTGATAAAACTATACATTCCAGAAAAAAAAAGTGTATTAATATTGTTACAATATTTATTTTTTGGTTCATATTTGTATTGTTAAATCGCTGTAACATATATAAAGAATACTTGCAGATTTCAACTTGAAGCAGGAACGGTCGGTGTTCTTAGAAGCTGTTGCAGTAAACGAGCTGCAAGACGCTGAGTTATCCCACCAACCACTCGCCCCCCTAGACTCCGTCCCTCCGGTTGTTGAAGAACCTATGCCAAACCACCTTCATTAGCGAACTGCCCAACTCTATTAAATGCTATAATTGTGTTTCATTTTAAATAAAAAAATATCCGTATTCTATGTATGTTTTCAGATTGTCATATACCATATCTGAATATCTGTCGGATATAAGTATCAAACCTATATAGTTCAAGAACAATGAAGAATGAACAAGCTATACCACAAATAAGGTTTACTAACCTGTAAAATAGGCTGCAGAAGTGTTGGATCGAAATTTTCAGAGGAAGTTAGAAGCGCCCAGATTCTAAAAACCTGTTTCCTAAGATCCATCAGAGCTTCCAAATCAGCACTGGTCATTGCAAGCGCTCCATTGCCATTTCCATTGATCATCAGGGTTCGCACAAAAGACGGGGCAGAGTTGTATGTATCAGCCGCTGAGCCTAAAATAACAGCTTCAGTGACACGAACAGCCTCTTTAATCGTTAAGGTCCGAAGTTCTTCACCGTCTGGTCCCAGTAATAGTTTTAAAACAGGTTGCAATGCATCTTTTGCTGAGAAGTCTCGGTCCTTCCTTCCCTCTATAAGAAGGTCTTCTAGTCTATTCCACCTGTCGTGAACAGAAATTGAACATATCTGTATCAGTTGCATGCTTGTATCTGACACTCGTATCAAATATGTACATTACGAGTAGCTAGATTTCATGAACTGGAATGCAGAGAGGAGCAGAGGGTGTATAAGTAATTAGGTTAGGAAATACATGCCTGAACCTGCCATCCTTGAAAAGCAACTCTACAAGAGCATCTCTGAGATATGGATTTGGATCAGTGAGAAGCCTTTTAGCAAAGTATGGATATGAGGCAGCCAACACTTTAAAATTAGGATCAGCATAAAGGGCTAACCCTTCTAGCACTGTAAGTGACCTCAATATCAGTGCATAATAGGCAGGCACTGCAACAACATTGAAAACCAAACTATTAGACTTATAACAAAGTTTATTCCACACGAAATTATTATGTATTCGTATCCAGGTGTGACGGACGTAAAGTACTATAAGAAAACAAAAGAGTTGAAGCAACATAGCATGCAATAACCAAACTTGATGATAGGGCTCCAAAGCATCATTTAAATATATAGCAATCTTGCTCCAACTTTTTTTTCTTTAAGTACGTGTATCACACCCAAATTCGAGAAACATGCAAACCAAACTTGGGGCTCGGAAGTAAATGGAAAAAGATATATCAGCTCACCGTTAAAAGGGTACTGGTATAAAACATTTCCCAGGCCATCAACAAGTGTTTTGAAGTTGAGTTCGCTCACAGTGTAGTTCAGAGCATCATCAAAGAAGTCCCTTAGAGCCGGCACAATGGGAGAAACATCTACATCAGTTTCCAAAAAGTCCAAAGCATAGTAATCACGAGCCATTGCTTCATAGTCCCGATTAACCATATGAACAACATGACCGATTATGGCCGACCTTGCATCCTCTGGTGTCTCACTCATCATTCCAAAATCCAAAAATGCGAGCTTCCCTTCAGGTGTCGCCAAAAGATTACCGGGATGAGGATCAGCATGAAAGTAGCCATGTTCTAGGAGTTGTCTGAGGCTGCATTGGATGCCCGTGGTAACTAAATCTATAACCTTTAAACCTTGGCTTTCAATGGCGGATTGTTGGTTTAGTTTCACTCCATTAACCCACTCCATCGTTAGTACTTTACCACTCGTGTAATTCCAGTAGATATCTGGGACAAGGATATCCTCTTTGTCAGCATATAACGTCTTGAATTTCTTTGCATTTTTTCCCTCCTGCAAGCAACCTGCTAAAATTAACATCTCATGCACAATAATGGTACATAGATATGTGTAGTCCATGTGAATATAGTAAAGAAACTAACCTGGACATAGTTGAGCTCTTGGTAAACTCTACGGGCAAATTCGTCGATAAGGGCGACAACATCGGTCGTGATGATATCAACGTACTTATTGATGAAAAATCCCAAGCCTCTAATAAGGTAAAAATCAAGTCCAATGGCTTCTTCAATACCAGCTCGTTGCACTTTAACAGCAACAGTTTGGCCTGAATACTTAAGTTGAGCTTTGTAGACTTGGCCTAAACTGGCAGCAGCAATTGGAGAAGCGGATATCGAAGAGAATATGGATTCAATCGGAATCCCCAACTCCCTTTCGATGCATGAGAATGCATCGGCATCGGGAAATGTAGGCAATGCATCCTAGGAACATGTAAGAGTTAGAAAAGTCGGCCCCAGGAACTATTTAAAGGAGTGGGACAGTACTTTACTTGTTCGACTTTGATTTGATTCGACTTGATTCAAATATATATATATATGTGTGTGTACTGTTACCTGCAGCTCAGCCAGCTCCTCGAGATACTCGGGCGGGCAGAGATCAGGTCGAGTGGATAAACCCTGACCCAGTTTTACGAATGTTGGGCCTAATCGAGTGAAAATGCTCCTCAACTCAATGGCTCGTTTTCTCTTGTTTCGATCCAGTGTGCCATCCCTTTGATCCAACAACAACTTTGTACTAAAAGAGCCTAAGGCTACCAAGATTTCCAATGTCCTACTCACTACCTATAATAACCATACCAATTTTATAACCATTAACAGAACACATTCAAATTCTATTAATTGAAAACAACTTTGTCATTGTCAAAAGCATATCCAAATCTGATTCAATCCGATTTACATATTTTTTTTTAAATCATGGCAATTCCATCAACATTGACAAACTTGAATTCCAACTACATTTCATTCATCCAAAACGATATCATCATAGTAATAACAGTTCAAGTCAATTCGGTTTTATGTATCTATCTATATATATACTCCTCTACTACATACAAAATCCCTATCTGAGTTGAGGTACCGAGTTATCCAAAAACGAACTTTAAATATAATTCGATTTAAATTTAACCGACCCCAATATATTTAAGCATTATTCGAATTGAAACGAATGGACGATAATGGTGTTCTTCCAATTTTCGTTTGGGCCTAACCTGGACAGGTCGAGACCCATATTTGTTGGCAAGAAGTTCGGGGCTGTAAACAGAGGCATTGACGGCGCGTGCCATGGCCTTGACCTCCGCCTGTAGTTCCGCCGCCCGGTCCCCTCCCAATACTTGCAGAGCCACCGGCGTACCACTACCATCGACTCTGGGTCCTGCTTCTACCAAAGCAGCTCGAGTTCCCAACTTGTAACCCTTGGATTTCGAAATTGAAAACCGATTACCGGCCTTTGAACAGGAGTAATGAACCCCGGCTGAAACAACCAGATTCATGGCCGCCATTGTTGAAATGAAGGAAAGTGTACGCCACAGCTTGACAATTGGAGCAGTGTTATTGTATTTGCGAACACGACGTGGAGATTATTGAGAGTGGGATTTTGGGTATAACTTGGTTGCACGACTACCATGAACGTAAGTGAACCGAAAACTGCCATTTGTCACACTCTTACCCACTGCTGCTGCCGTGTTTCATCCAAATCCATAAAGATTCCTTGCATTAGATTTTCAATTATTTGTTTAAAACAATAGGTCAATCTATGTTTTGCTCCATCTAAATACTTATATTTATGATTTAGCCCCTATATATTTTTTAATTAAAATGGAAAATAGATGGAAAACAAGGCTAGCTAACACCAACAATAAGAGGCCTCGACGTCTCTGTAGTCTATAGAGTAGTTTTTTCTGTAATCTGAAAGAAAATCATGATGAAATATCTCGAACTAAGAAAGAGTAAGGAACGTGTTTTGGTCAGAGCATATGTCAAACAGTTGACTTCTCGTGGAACACGGTCAAATACTTATATTTTGATTTGATATGGCCTCTCTTTATGGGTTATTCCAAAAAGTTAACATATTAAACGCCCCAATTGAAATATTGACGTAAATTCTTTTATGGGTAGGTTCTATCTTATGTAGATTGTTAACGGTAGAGATTTTGGTCACGCAATCATTTCATTCTTCTCGAAATATATGTGTGATAGAATGTATAACCCCAACATTTATAAATACCACAATCTTTTTTTCCATTTTGACGTGGGATTAATGTCTCACATCTTATTAAGATGAGATTCTCCCTCACCTAATTTTGTGACGTCATAGGTAGGGCTGTAAATGAGGCGAGATAGATCGCGACTCAAGGCTCGATAAATACTCGGATTGAATAGACTCGACTCGAGCTCGACTCGATTTCTTAACGAGCCAAAACGAGTTACTTGATATTCGACTAAAAAAGCTCGTGAGCAGCTCGAAAATATAATATATTAATATTTTATTTTTTAAATAAATTAATAATAATAATATTAATATTTATGTATTGATTTTTCTAAAATAAAGTAAGATTTTCATGTATTTAAGGTTAAGGTTCGAGTTTGAGGCTCCAATCAAGTTAAATTTAAGATTTTTTTTCATTTCGAGTCTTTTCGAGCTACTCACGAGCTTTAGTTTAGGATTTCGAGTTCGAGTCGAGCTTAAAAATGTTAAGCTCGCGAGTTTTCGAGTCAAGTCGAGCTCCATTTCAGAATTTTCAAGTCGAATCGAGCTTAACAATATTCGAGTTCGACTCGGCTCATTTACACCCTAACCATGGGTCATCATCACAGTTATTTATCCTATCTATCTTGTCTACTGAGATATTCAAAGTAAAAATAACAGTCAAATGATCACTCTAAATCACTTATCATGGGACTATTATCATCTTCTTAAAAGAAAGATAAATTTATATATATATATATATATATATCATGTATTATAGTTTTTGATTTTTTTTAATTCGAATCATTAAAAAAATTAGAATTTTAAGTAGACTTAAAAATTAAATTAAAATTACTCACTCCCTCATTTTTTTAAAATTTTAATAAAACCCCTGGATTTTTATAAATTGTCATCGTGCCTAACAGTTTTGAATATTTTCAATTACACCCCCCATTTTATTTAAAAAAATTCTCATTAAGTCTTCCAAAATTCTAAATAACTCCCTCAAACTTTTTGAATTTTTTTCCCAACACACAAAAAATTCCATATAACAAAATCCACGATAATTATTTGGACTAACCGATATCACTCTAAAGGTAAATTGGTTAAATTGTGTCAAATTATAAGTATAGGTACTTAATTTCAAATTTAAACATCAAGGATAAAAACTACAATAACAAATAAACTATTTTCCCAATAAAACTAATAATTAGTTAACAAGTATATTTTATTTATAAGTTTTTTATTAATAAAAAGAAGTTCAATGCCAAAACAAAAGTAAGATGGGCCAAGCCTGTGATCAAATTTATATTTCGAGTCGAACTAAAATTAAGAAGATGTGAAAATTTTAATCAACCTCAAAATTTATTTTATTTCTACATATAAAGGAAACCATGATAGGACGAATACTCATCCAATTTGATTTTTTTAAAAAAACTCAAAAATCGAATTAATTATTATTAAATTTTATTCAATAATTAGCAAATGATGGATACGGTTGATCTAATCATTTAAATAAATGATAATATTAAAAAAAATATTTTATCAAAATGTTACTTGTCTATAAAAAATAAAAGATTACATTAAATAAAGTACATCAACCATAAATTAAAATATAATTAAATAAAGTTGAGATCAAAACAACAAGTAATTAGGGATGGATATGGGTCGGTTTTTCGACCAACCCGACTCAACCCAAAAATTTTATACTCTCCACCCGAAATTCGTTCCAACTCAAGTTTAAGATAATTTCATCCGACTCAAAGTCCGACCCGATTTTTGAGATAAAACCGACTCAGACCTGAAGTAATATAAAATTATTAATTTTATTCAATAAAATATGAACTTAATTGAAAATATATAATATAAAGAGATATATTGTTACAATTATCTTTAAATATATAAAGTATAAATATATCATTTTTTGGATCATATATTTTTACCCTAAACTCGAACTGAGTTAAACTTTTTTCTTCAAAAATAACCTGACTAGACCCGAATTTAATTTTTATGTAAATTCCGACCCAATCAAATTGATCAGGTCAAAACCTGTCCAATTTGGGACCCAGATGGAGCGATGATTTAAAGTTGAAGTAGTGATCATAGCTTGTATCTAAATCAATTGAATATTAAATTTTGTAAAAGATATAAGAAAGAAAGAAAGGGAAAAAAAAAACACTTTAACACGCTCGCTAGCTCCTATCCACTATTCCACTTCCTTGACTTTAGTAATGATTCACTAAAACGGAAACATTGATTATAACTTTTTAGGGGTAATGACACCATGCCCTTATACTTTGATCATTTTATTGATGTGGTGTCTTTATTTCTTTTATAAGTCTGAAATTATTGTAAAATAGTATCCATTTAAAATTTTCTTAATCAATTGACAATAAACGCACGCTATGAAAATGCAACTACTTGAATATAAAATCTTTAGGGGGTATTTGGTTCAAGATTGTGGGATTCCCATGGGATGAGAATCCCACATTCCCATGTTTGGTTGGTCGGGAATCTCATTCTCGGTAATGTTTTATTACCAATAGTAGAATTTTTGGGGTATATTACCGGAAATGTCATTACCTCCCTTCCCTTAGGTATTGTAACATTACCGGTGTTTTGGACTAAAATGCCCTTAAATTTTTATTTTTTTTAAAAAATATCCTTCTTCTGTCATTGAATAATAAAAATTCTACGAAGGTTAAATTATAAATTTATCCTTAAATTATTTTAGATTTATAAAAAAAAGTCTATAATTAAAATTTTATATGAAATTCAGGGGTTAAAATTTTTTTTACCCTTTCATTAACATTTTTTTTATATTTTTAATTTTGTAAAAAAATTATATAAATATTATGAATTTAATTTTTTAAAGAAAATATAATATTTTACAATTTGTAATATATACAAATATAATAAGGACAATTTGGTCAAATATACATTCTAATAATATTTTTATTCTTTAACCAAACACGTATCTTACATTCATGCTAAACCAACCAAACACAAAATACAACATTTACAGTAATCCTATTCCTGGTAATCTTTTATTTCCACTGGTAATCTTACATTCCATGAACACACCCTTAGAGATAACAACATTCCCTTTTACTATCGAGATCGCTCAATGAGTTCGATGTCTCTACTTTCAAAATGTTCAATGTGTTTATATACTTTATTTTCATAATCACTACGTCTCTTGAGTATAACAGCATTAATATTTAATATTAATAAAATATGTTGTCACGTGATATTTTAACTGCTCACTTTTTTTTATTGTTTGAAATTTAAAACCAAATAAATATAGGAATAGTCTTTTTGAGTTGTTTTGATTTAAAACTATAGTAGTTTATATTACTGATTTTATTTTTACTAATTTGAGGTGATATTTTAATGAACATTTAAATAAATTAAGTGAAATTTTAATTGAGTTAATTTTACCCGATTATAAATATTATGGTTAGTAATAATTTAAAACTTAATTAATAATAAATGAATAACTTTTATTGGTGAAGCATAAATGGTGAAAACTCAAGCAAAATTAAATTGAAGGAAATGGAAAAGTTGCAAATATATTAAACTTACTAAAAAAATGGAATTTACTCCTTTACTTATCCTTCAAACAAATTGGATTAATTTTAGGTAATTTAATCCAAAACTCTTTTGAATTAGTAAGGGTGAGAGTTATCCAATTATAATAATAAGAGATAATTGTATATGATATCCCCAAATTATGACTCTTGTTTTAAATTGGTCACTAAACTTTGAAACATTTATATTAGTCCCTACACTATGACTTCAATCTAAGTTGGTCCTTAAACTTTAAAATATTTTACATCAACCCTCAAACTTTTAATATCATTTCATTTTGATCATTCTGTTAACGTGACATTAATTATACCAATTAAAAATTAATTTGTTTTTCAATGTATTGGGAATTGAAGCCACGACCTCTTAAAAAATTCTCATGCCTTAAAAAATAAAATAAATTTGTTTTAAAAGGTCATAGGTTTAATTCTTGAGACATTAAAAATAGATTATTTTTTTAGAATGTGACGAGTTCAATTCCTAAAGTATTCAAAAACCAATAGATTTAATGTCGCGTTAACATAAGGGCCATGGTATTAATAGTTTAATGATTGATATAACATGCTTTAAAATTTAGGGACTAATTCAAAATAAAGTCATAATTTAAGGTTTGATATAGAATATTTCAAAATTTATGGATCGATTTAGAATATGGATCATAGTTTGGTGACATCATGTTTCTCTAATAATAATTGTAAATGCATATGATATATATTCAAATAATCATCACAACAAAATCTATTAAGTTACCTCAATGATAAAAGAAAACGATTTTTCCTAAAAGATTCGTGTTTGAACACTTGTATTTGTAAGATGTGTATGCATTGCCAATAATTAACATAATCACCCATGAAAAATCTACAACGCTCATCAAGCATAAATAAACACAATTATTGCGGTGATTTTTTTTGCATAGTATGGGTGATGCATGATGCTGCCACGCTCGACGAGCACAAATGATTATCGTTAATGATGAGCACCTAACTATTTACCCCTTTTATTTTAACCATCGATTTTTCAATTTTGTCAATCGAATCACCTAACTATTTAAATCTTGTCAATCAAGTCACTTACCGTTAAATATTAATGGAGGAGATGACGTGGCCGTTAATAAAATTTATATAACTACACATTTAGTCCTCATTATTTACATATTCTATTAATTTGGTCATAACTTTTAATTAATTCAATAAATTTAATCCACAATTAGATGATGACATGTGGCATTATGGCACCAATTGAATGAATAAAAAAATTTGAGTCAATAAATATTGCTAATGGGGTTTGAACCCAAGACATGAGAAAATGAATCAAACGCCCCAACCACTGGGCTACACTATTTAAATGAAAAACTTATCACTACATAATATATATAGTTAATGAAAATAAAAAAGGAAAAATGACATAATAAGAACTCCAACGTGAAATAATTGAATAATACGATAATATGATATATATACACAAATATTATAACTGATTAATATGTGAATGTATTTTATTTATATTTTAAATCATTTTAACGAACAAATCAAGATAAAAATAATTTTAATATATTATAACTGAAATATAACGAAGAGCTTCGTTGACTTAGAATTTTCCTGATAATTGAGAACTTATCGTAGTAAGCATTTACATATATATTTGTATATGGTTAGAGTAGAATTATATTTATTATTTATTCATTATATTTGAAGAAAATTTTAAGGGTAACTTATTTTATATGTAAAATTATACATTTCAATTATAAAATATTAAATTTACTTTTATTTTAATTTTTGATTTAAAATATAATAAAACATATTCATTTATTAATCAATTAATATTGTTATATACATTTTATATTTTCATAATATTCAATTATTTCATGTTTGAGTCCTTATAAGGTCATTTATTATCATTGCCTACATTATAAATTATGTTGTGTATATTAGATAAATTTAGTGGTCAAGCTTAGTGTTTAGAATGTTTAGTTTTTCGGCTTGCGTCCCTGGTTCAAATCCCACCAACAACAATTATTGATTTAATTTATTTTCCATTCATTCAATTGGTGACACGTGGTACCATTTGATTAGACGGAAAATTTATTGAATTAAATAAAAGTTAGGACCAAATTAATAGAATATGTAAGTTATGAGGACTAAATGTGTAATTTTAAAAATTTATTAACTGCCACATCATCTCATCTTTTAATATTTAATGGCAGGTAGCTTGATTGACAATATTTAAATAGTTAGGTGACTCGATTGACAAAATTAAAAAATCGGTGATTAAAGTAAAAGGGGTCAATAATTAGGTGGTCAATGGTATAATTTATCCTAAAACTAATATTTTATAAATATTTTATTTTATTTTATTTTAATTAAATTACATTTATATTTTTAACTAATTCATAATTATATGTTTAGTATTTTATAATTTACTATTTTATAAATTAATTTAATAGTGTTCATAATTAACGGTGTTTATATGTGCTATTCGAGTGTGGCGGCATCATCCATCACCAATGCTATGTAAAAAAATCACTGCAATAATCAATTATTTCAAAATACAATTAAATTAATAATAAAGTTATATTCAGACAATATTTTTTTTTAAAATTAAATATAATTCAGGCAATATCTATACATAAAAAGTTTAAATTAAGCGAATTTGTATAGATAATCTATTGAATTTTAAAAATATATTTTCCATATTTACATTTATTTTATTTCTACATATATAGCATTAACCAATGTGTCTAATTAATTTTTTCATTTTAATTCCAAATCAATTTGATTGTAGGTAGTAGTTTCCAAGTAGAGATGATAATAGATCGGGTTGGGTTGAGTTTTTAATCAATTCGACCAGAAAAAATATATCATTCATATGAATTGATTCAAAGATTTATTTTTTGTACTCGAATCCGATATAATCAAGAATTTTAGAGTATAAATTCGATCCGGCATAAATAAGGACCTAATTAAAAAATTATAAAGAGAGATGATATTATAACAATTATCTTCAAATTTATATGTAAAAATTACACTATTACTTTTGGGTCAATTCAGGATTAGAGATTTTTTACCCTCCACCCATACCTGATCAACATTACCCTAAATAGAAATAAATTGTAATCTTTTTTTCAAGTACAGTAAAATTTTAAAACATATCAATAAATTAATTAAAGAAGAAAAATAATGGGATGAAAACTAAGAGAGCATGCCGTAGTAATTATATTTCTTTTGGTACAACCCAAAAACAATTATATTGTTAAAGTACATTTGACCAGTTGGTCAAATTGTATAATTGTATTCCCTCATATTTTTTTTTATGTTATGAGATATAGATTTACTATGAGTATCCATCTTTCTTTTTATAGTCTCCCATTTCCCTCTCCTCTAGTAGAATTAAGATTAAATTTAGATTTTGTCAAAATGGTAAAGTACACAAATGGTCTTTTAAATTATAGAACGATGCTTTGTTGAGTCCATCGATTATTAAAAATTATAAAATGATTCCTCAACTGTAGGACAATGTTTTGTTGAGTCATGCGACAATTAAAAGTTACAAAATAGGCACTCAACTATTTATATGATCCAAAATCATCATTTTTCGTTGAAAATTTCACAATCGTTTAAGTTGGCCATTAACATGCTAATTGGAATATGATAAAATCTGATCTCAGAACCATTTGAGTTGTATAGTTGTTTGAGATTTTATAAACAAATTTTATAATATTTCAGTCACCAAGTTATCGTCCAGCTTAGAGGTTTGTTAACTTTTAACATAAAAGAACGAGTTTGTAACATATAAATAGTCAAATGACTGTTTTGTAACATTTAATAGTCGAGGGATTCAACAAAACAATGACCTATAGTCAGGGGATCATTTGTAACTTTTAATAACTGATTGACTCAATAAAACATCGTTCTAATTAAAGGACCATTCGTGTCCTTTACACCCCCAAAAAATTATATTGTTACCATATTAAGACACTATTATTACTAGGGATTAAAAAATTAAAAATAGTATATTTGATATAGTATTTTTTAATAGCACGTGTTATACACGTGAGTTTTTGAATAATAAAGAAATAATATAAATAGTCAGTCACTTTGGTCCAAAAAACATCACACCCAAAAATTCAAAGCTAAAAACCGCGTCTTTCAAATAGACAGTTCCGCCTCATTTCCTACCCTTCACCAAAAATGCAAGTTTTCTATTTTCTATTTTATTTTAGGAAAAAAATACACAAATAGGTATTAATGTATATTGACATGATCATTTTAGTCACTAAAATTTCAAAAGTTAAAAAATAACCACTAATTTTTTTTAATAGTTATAAAATGATCATAAAAAATTATTAAATTATTATAAAATAGTCTTTAAATTTATCAAAATTTATTATTACTTTTGTATTGATCATTTTGCAATAGTTCGATAAATTTAATGGTTATTTTATAATTTCAAAAATTTTAGTGATTAAAAAATTGGTTCAGCATAGTTTAGTGATCTTTTCTGTAGTTTACCCTTTATTTTTTTATAAAAACAAAAATAATTAAATTAGTGTAAAAAACACCTTTTTCTAAAAAAATATTATTATTAGTATTATTTTCTTTGTTTTTAAACCAACGTTATCTTATTTTTTAAGGAACTTTATATTTCATAATATATTTTTCCAGATACAATTTTTAATGAAATTATTTAAAATATGTATGAATATTGAATTAAGAAATAATTAAACATTTTCATTTAAAAAAAAGAATATTTAAATAAGAAATCTTCTCTCTATTAAGAATAATATTAAATAAATATTATAATTTGAGAAGTATAGAAATTCTGGCTTTAATGCTACGCCTAGAAAAAGGCAAAGCTTCTGCTGTCTTCAGTTATCTTTATGGGAAAAAAAACAATAAAATCAAAGAGAAAAGAGAAGCCTTCATTTCCTTCAACTGATCGGAACTGCTCCTCTTTTTAAGTTCATCAGACATTAAAAACAAGAACAACCCAGATTAAAACTCCCATCAAATCCCAATATTCTTGAAAAAATCATTATTTTTTGTATTTTATTTGTTAATTTCTGAGTCATTTTTCTTTTCTGATCTGGGTCGATGCCAGAAATGGAAAACAACAAGGAGAAATCGTCATCTGGGCCGTTGTTGTTGAACCGCTCGTTTACGATGAACGCGACGGCAGCTGAATCGAAAACCCCCAAACTTCATCTTCTTCTTAACAACCCATCGTCTCTTAATCGGGCGGCTTCCGTCTCGAAGTTCTACAATTCATTCGATTCCGTCAAAGGTAAAGTTAAAAAGCTTTGCAATTTGTTCGAATCCGCCAAGTCTTCGTCGAACTCAGCAAGTCCTAAGGTTGCTTTAAGACCCTCGAAATCGATTGCGTATTCTTCTTCGTTTTCTTCTAGCTTTAACAACACGTTGATAAGATTACCTGGAACCGAAGATCGAATTGTTGTTTATTTGACTAGTTTACGAGGGATTCGAAGGACTTACGAGGATTGTTATGCTGTTAAGATGATATTTAGAGGGTTTGGAGTTTGGGTTGATGAGAGAGATATTTCCATGGATGCAGCTTACAAGAAAGAGTTACAAAGCGTTTTGAAACAGAAGACTGTGAGTTTGCCTCAGGTTTTCATAAAGGGCAAGTATATTGGTGCTGCCGATGTGATTAAAAGCATGTTTGAAGTTGGGGAATTGGCTAAGGTTCTTGATGGGTTTCCAAAGAGACAACCTGGGTGGACTTGTCGGGGTTGTGGGGATGCCAGGTTTGTGCCTTGTTGGAACTGTAGTGGGAGTAGAAAAGTGTTCGACGAAGATGAAGAGTCGATTAAAAGATGCTTGGAATGCAATGAAAATGGCTTGATTCGTTGCCCAGATTGTTGCTCTTAAAGCTTCCATTGCTACAGGGTGGTAAGATATATTTAGAACTTCGTTTTCATCTTCGTTATTGCATTTAGACATCGTCTTTATTGGTTTAATTCGTTTATGTAGATGTTGTATGTAATAGTTTAATGTGCTTGTTATGCAACGCTTCATTAGCAGAGAGCTGATGATCGTTAGTTTTCATGTTCAACTGGATGTTGACAATAGTATTGCAATGTAAAATCAGAATGCCATATTTGGTTTTGGCATTTCGATTTCGAAGGAGATCTGGAATTTCTCCTTTATGATATTGTAAATATTTAGTGTTATATTAATTTAATGGACTCACATATCTTGTGACAGATTGTTATGAGAATAGACTTTGTTTATACTCTACTTCTTTTCTTGAATTCACTTTGTAATTATAGAAGCTGCAGTGCATGCCTCCCTTAGTTCTTGTTCATACTTCATACAGAACCAAGACTGGGGATTGGTTTCTGGTTTGTTTAACGTCTTAAACTCAATGATCGCATATTGCTAAGGAAAAATGAAGAGTTAAGAGTAACGTAGGTAAAATGAAGAGTTAAGAGTAACGTAGGTAACTTACATCCAGATCGTTTAGAACACCATTCTTATCTTCATCCTATACCTTTCTTGTGGGACAAGTCTTTTATTTATTTAGGAGCCATGAGTTGCATGATTACTGCATTTCTGTTTAGATTATTTTCTTTAAATTTAGTTTATAGGATTTTGATCTTCATTTTTGGAGTGTGTTATTCTTGACAAGTCTGTTTCACCTAAAAGATGGTTCCTATTTTCTTCCCATTTTTATTGCTTTCATCTCCTGCATAACTCATCTTTGCTATTTTCTTCCAACTCTTCGGTTTACTTTAAATACTCTAAACATATTTGGATGCAAGTATGAGGACTCTTTAAATACACGAAGAGAAAAAATTCGAATATATTCATACCGACACATACTCGTAAGTCGTATCAAACACTCAATACTTAAGCTTGTCTGGACAATCTATCTCCATCTAATTCAGATGAGTAGTCGCCATCAAATCTCCCCAGGCTTGGAGTAGGCATTAATATCTTCATCTTCAATCCTCATCTTATCATTAGTATAAAATTCTCCAGCAGGGATGGTTGCCGTGGAATGACGCTTTTGATTAGACCTGTTTAAGGGTCGAGTTATTCATCCGAGTCCGAAGGTTTATTTAAAATTTGAGAGGATTTGGACAAAAATAGTGGGTCCAGAAAATGAACTTAGACAAAAATTAAACTTGTTTAAAATATGAGCCAAATTTGGACTAACATTTAAGATCGATCCTTAGACAAGTTTAGGTGAAAATTGAGGTCTATATTCTAGGTCGTTTTGACCTTAGATAAGTATGAAGTGTGTAAATCTCATGTGACTCGAACCTAACCTGGCCCATGAACACCTCTATCCATGATATCCGAATTCTTTATTTTCACAAATATTTGACATTTGTATTTGATACACATTTTCATGATCAGTTTTGAAGTATTCGTATCAGGTATATATTCAAATACAAATATAAGATAATGATTCTCTAAATATAAAATGAAACTTAAATATCTCTGTGTCACTCGTACTCGACGAATACACTCGAGTACGAGTGAAGTGCTACAGATTTATACACACCATTGTTTCATTCTATGAATGGGTTCTTGCGTGCAGCTTAATCATCATTGGGGCATTGTTTTAAACTTTCTGTGATGATTTCCTCCTAAGTTACATTTATCCATTCAAATTAGCTACATAAGCAAATTTTCAGGCATTCCCATATGTGCCCGAGTCATTATTTTCAGACAGCTAATGAGTAAGAAGAATGCATTCGAGCTCGATCTGGAGCACCCCGCTCTCGACCTTTTGTAGCCGAACATAGATATCCTGTTTTACTCTCCCATCCGTCACGGTAATAATACCATCTTTTTCCAAGGTGTTGTCTTTGCTCGCAATTGATTCCCCGAGCTGCATTGATTCATCAATCTCGGAACGCTCATGGGCTCGCGCAGCGGTAACCAGCGGTTGAATGTCAATCTCCGCCTCCCCCATGAAATCGTCATGTGAGAATGTATCTTTATCCAACACAATCTGCACATAAAGTCCTGGATATCGTTAACAAGTAAACGAACTAAAAAGTACTGATGATGATGTCCAAAGAAACACAGGACTTGCGTGTTCAACAAATGACAAAGCAAACCTATGTTGCTTGAACTCAGGTTATGCATGTGTATATATTCAATTTTGTCTAAGTTTTTCATGTATTCGGAGGGTATTCCCCAAATTGATGTCTGCATAAGCATCGGAGACGGGATTTCAAGAAAAAAATATGAAAAGTCCGAGTACGATAAAAGCAAAATACCACAATCTAACCTGATTTTAAGGTTTCATTCTCGAACAAAATAAAATATTCTACGTGTTTTGGTTTTTCAGTTAAAGAATTGAACTCACCACTTTCAAAGGAGGAATGTGTTCCGGAATGCTCAACATGAGGCTTTCATTCCAGACTGGATTTAGGTTGTTCTTTATGACTCGGGTCTTGACCGACTGCAATCAAAGAAATTATGAAGAATTCGAATCACTATGGTAATTTGCTTCACCGGAGTTGTCCATTTCAGTTCATTTAATAATATCTTATTTGTGTAACAGAGAAGCATACCTGTTGACCCAACGTGAGAATGACATACGGATCGCTCGAAACCATATCTCGGACAGCTAGGTTGGTGCCTTTGACTACATTCCCCTTAATCATCCCAATGAATTCAACCATACCTGCCTATAAACAGCACATACAGAGAAAAAACAATATCCACAATTTAATGCCATAAGATCCTTTAAAAAGTGCATATTATTAATACAGTAAGTGTTATATGCCATCGGTTATAAATCCGTGCTTACTCGGAGGACTGCGTATGTAACATCTCTTAGCTAATAATCAATATATAAAGTTTCTATATATTTCCCATTCTTTAGCTTCAGTAAGTCTTGTAACAACTTTGAAATCCATCATTTTCGGAATTATCAGCTCTAATAAACACATGTGCTTACTCTATGCGCATGCACACGTTTGCCTTAAGAGGCACTGAGAAATAAATTCATTGAAGGCTTTTCTATGATCATGTCAATATTTCGTTTCGGGAATCCTAGGTATAGAAGATTGGATCAGATCTAGAGACATCTACTTGTCAGTAAAGTAGCATCAGCAAGAAAATGTATTTGATGAGAAGAGTACTAACAGAAATTCATCAATCAGCTAGTTCTAGAGGAAAGAAGCACTTCTGGAATCGGAAAATTAAAATAAGCATCGATAAAAGAAGTAATTATTACCAATGAGTTACTTTTCCTAATGGGCTTATGATGATCGTTCTCTCTTCTTACCCAGCTGTTTCTAAATCTGTGCCCTATACGATGATGTCTGGTCGGTTGTTTCTCATACTGTCCTTTATCTTGGGCAAACATGTTGGGCAAAGAACTTTGTGAAGAGGACGACGGAGAACGTTGATGAGGCGGATGGGGGGAAATCGCATGTTCATTGTTATCAAAAAATTGCAGCATCTCATATTTTCTCCTAAGCATTCAAGGAACACAATACTGAGTATAATAAATCAAGAATTCTAGCCAGAAAAAAAGGCACCGGCAAGTTTATTTTGGCATTACTTAATGAAATCGGCGCGCCCCTCATTGGACGAATCTGGTCTTGGCTTTGTGATGTTATCAGGAAGGAAAGCTTCATACTTTTTGTTTGCCAAATTATTGCCACCCAAATTCTCCAGAGAATCCACTTGATCGTCTGTCCATTCATCGAGCTTCACTGATAAAACCTAGCACAATTGCATATCAAATTAGAAAATTCGAAAGATAAGTGTATGTACGGAGAGAACACATTAATCGCCTATGTGACTAGGACTTGGAGATTCTTGGATGTCAAATGCTCTCAATATGCGTCAATGCGTCATACATGGCTTTGGACATGGATACTCCGAGAAAAATGAAGAGACACAGTAACTTGGATAATCCACTATGGAATAGGGAGTATAATCACTTGAAACTTCATTCAAGTAAAATACGAGCATAATCCAAAAACCATACCTTTGATATATGTACTCCGAGGCTTCTATGTACACCAGAGCATTTGATACAAATAAATACTCCAAGATTTAATGATCTGATATTCCGGGAAAAAAATAGTCAATATGGAGTAACTGTCGAGTTAATATACCGAACGTAAGCACAAATTAAAACGAAAACAGCGAAAAAGAGGCCAACAAATGAATTACTGACACTATAACAGATATTGTGACAAACTTTTGATTCAAGGCACATAGACGTATATTGCACGAGCTTGGAATAAGGGTTGGATTTAGATATGTATCCAACATCGATATGCTCGAAAAAGAATACTAAACTTGAAATGCTGTTCCCGGACTACATCCTAGAAGTGAACAATCTGAGACGAGAAAACATTACAATGAATTAAAGTACAACACTTACACCCATTTCGGATCCGGGGATCCGCAATCTGCACAAACACAGTTCCCGGACTCCTTCGACAATCTCTCTAGCCTTCCTTTCGCAGCTGGTTAATGAATAATAGAAGTTAAAACATATAAACAATTAACAAATCTGGATAAAAATATAGGTTTACCGGAAGGCAAACGAGATACAACTGCTACCATCAGTTCCAGATTTGAACACATGCCGAGTAACTCAAAGGGATAAACCAAAGAATGATTGAATGCACAAAGGAAAACATGTGTACTCTCACAAACAATGAATTTAGAGTTTGTATGTATACATGCACCGTACAATTATCTGTGCTAGGACCAATACATTGTAGCATACCGGAGCTTCGTACTATGTCCTTTGTGCATCATTGCATTTAAGTTTGCAATTGCTATTTGATAACTTGGGATATGATGCTTAAAACACAAAACTGGAGTAAAAGGCAACATACTAGATGCTCTCCACGAGCCCTTCCTGATAAACCAAGATGTACTATCAGCATCACTAGGTCGATTCCAATATGGCGTTTCCGCACATAGCAGATCATATAATCGAGAACTGGATCCTGCAAACGCAACATGATAAATAAACCAAACATATGATCAGAAAGAATAAGTTCAGCATGTCATAATAAGTAAACAATTAGTCACAATCCCTGAAGATCGATCCGAAATAGAAGATAACCATCAGTACCGCCATTGTCATCAAGGGTCAGCATTCACCGAATGGTTTTAAATCAGGAAAAAAAAGTGTTATTGATTTCAACAACAATTTTGTCAAACAAATTGCAGGCGTTTCCATAATCTTAACAATTCACAGAATCTGAGATTATCAATTCCTTCTTGGGCATGTTCATAATCATTCCATTTAAGAAATTATTGAAAAGTAAAAGAACACAACAAAAAAAGGAAGACATTCTGTTGTGTCTTTAAATTGCTTGCATGGATCATTACCAGAAGGGGGTTTGGCATCAGAATTTCCATGTTGGGTAGACATCTCCACCCTTCGAATTGGAGACCCTAATCACTGCTATTATCTAGAAACCCCCATTATGAGTTCTTTAATCTGCATCAGAATAACATAAACATCCATTAAACAAAGAAACAAAAACAATAAACTGAAATCCAAAAAAGAAAATCTTACATTCTAAAGCTTTGGCCTTTTTCTGTTGAACATAAGAGCATCATCGGAATGAAGAATGAAGCTTTGTTTTTGTTGATAAAATTGAAAACTAATGCCAAAAACAATAATTTAGAAAATGGTTGTTCTTACATTGTTGGGAAGACCAAATTAAAAAATCAATGAAGGGTTCGCATAGGAAATTGACAAGTTTAGTTGGACCAAAAGAATCAAATAAATGGACAAGGGGGAAAGGAAACATTCACAGAATTTGATTATATTTATTTTTTTCAATTAATTTTACCAAAAATTAAATTAATTTTGAATAATACAATGGGAAAGGAATAATTCTATTAGAAAAGTCAAAGTAGTAATGGCAGCTCCAAACTTAAATGCCATTTTTGGTTGGTTGGCTTCTTGCCAAACGCACGAATGCTATACGCCCAATTGACAAAGTGTCCCTAAACTATATTTTTCTCCCCTAATTTGGTACATTAAATTTCGAGTTAATTCTCGGATTTATTACTTTCTTTTTTTGCTTAATATAAAAAAATCTTAAATTATACCTATTTTATTATTTAAATATTTAATTTTTCTTCGATCAATATAGATACCTTACGTTTTTAATGTTACCATTTTAAGTGCATGGTCTATTATGCCTGTTAAAAATATGTTATCTGACACGTGTCGTATTTATATATATATTTTAAAAATTTTATTTAAAAAATTAACAATATTATCATTAAAAAAATCCCTAATTCTTTATCTAAAATCTAAGAAAAAACTAAAACCCCAAAAAATCCCTAATTTGAATCATTTATTGTCGCTACCCGCCACCAACGCCGCAAATGAATGTGAAGGCAATGTGGTTGTTGTTTTCATCCAAAGGTTCATCGGCGGTTGGTGATTATTGATTATTAGGGTTCAAGGATTGAGTATTTAGAATTTTAAATATTTAAGTTTAGGGATTTGAGAACTTAGGGGTTTGAGACGACGACAATGGTTATAGCAAGTTAGTAGGGGAGCTAAAATGGGTAGTCGTTCAATGATGGATGGACACCTGAAGATGACCGACAACGGGAGTAACGGGAATTAGAATTATAGATTTTAAGAATTTGAGTTTTTTTTTTAAATATTTTTTTTAAAAAATAAGTTTTTTTAAATATTAATTTAATTTTTTAAATACAATTGTTTTAAAAAAGTATAAATACCACACACACCAAATAACATATTTTTTTAACGGTAGTGACATATTAAATACTTAAAATAATAAGACAATAAATACTTACATCGATCGAAAAAAGTTCGCGCCAACGATGGATGACACCTGAAGATGACCGACACCGGTAACGGGAATTAGAATTATAGATTTTAAGAATTTGAGTTTTTTTTTTTAAATTTTTTTTTTTAAATAAGTTTTTTTAAATATTAATTTAATTTTTTAAATACATTGTTTTAAAAAGTATAATACACACACACCAAATAACATATTTTTTTAACGGTAGTGACATATTAAATACTTAAAATAATAAGACAATAAATACTTACATCGATCGAAAAAAGTTCGCGCCAACATGCATATCTTATTAGTCTCGATCGGTTTGAACATTGCCTGAGCAACGCCTCTAGCTTAGTGATTAGTATGTCTTTGGCTAAAACATAAAATCGTCGGTTCAAATAGTGGCTGATTTATGTTTTCTCCTCTAAAATTTAAATTTTCTTCAATTAATTATAAATTTTAGGATAAATTATGTTTTTAATATTTAAACTATTAGTTTTAGTACCTAAATTTTTATTTTTTTCGAAATCATACAACATTTATTTTTTGTTTCATTTTAGTATCCCGTTAAAAACTTAACGTTAAGTTTTTAAAAAATTGAAAGATGACCAAAATTGATAGTTTAAGTACTAAACGAGTTAAATTTTTAACGACGGGGTACTAAAATGAAACAGCAACTAAATATTAGGTATGATTTTGAAAAAAAAGATTAAGTACTATAACGGATCAAAACGATAGTATAGGTATTAAACACATTATTTACCTTAAATTTTATTTATTGTATATATTCTAAAATCTTATTTATATGTATCTTATATATATTCACCCTAAAAAGTATGTCTGAATCTACTATTAGATTTGAACGTACACATTTTTTTGTCTAAATTCTTTGATTTTCGATTAAAAATTACGTATAATTTTAAAACTCGTACTAATGATAAAATGCATGCTTCATTTCACAAAAGATTGGAATTTTTAAGTTTTGTTCGACATTATTTTTTAATAGTTTTAGTATGGTTGCAAGATAATATCTATTTAAAATCTTTTTCAGTTATTGAAAACATACAGACACTGACAGAAACAACTGTTTGAACCTAGAAGCTAAAAACTCTAAGGAGGAAAATATTTATTTTAATCACGGAAGCCACTTGAGTTCAGTTTTGTTCAACATTTTATTATATTAATTAATATTTAAAAGAATTAATTTTATAATAAGATTATAATTTTTAAGTTTTGTTTAATATTTTATTATAATAATGTTTAGAAGAATGTGAATTCAAACGTGTTAAATTCATGTTATCTTTTAATTTAAGGTTTGGGGTCTGGTAGTTACAACGAACTTAACAAAGCTGTAAATTTTCTTTATATTATCTTCAGCCTCGTTTGTTAGTTAGTTTACCACAATTTTTGAGATAAGCTAATACTTTGAATACAAGTGCACCTATAAACATGTGCATGTTCTTTATAGAGTAAACTACATAAATGGTCATTGAAATTTAAGTAAGTTTCTCTATTCTCCACTTATATTTTAAAAAGTAATAATTTGATAACTAATATTTTTTATTTATAATAAATCAATCACTCGATCATTTAACTGTTACTGAACTAATAAATGTTGACGTGACACGTTAAACCAATTGATCTGACAATGTTTGGCCAAGTGGGACAACAATTTTGATTGGTGTCCATGAAAGAAGTTTAAATAATTTATGTAATGGTGCTAGAAATTTGACCTCCCTTCAAATCCATGCCATTACGGGACTTGCATGAATTGGAAAAGGTTTGCTTACGTTGGGCCATGAAAAAGTTAAGGACATGACTATGATCTTTTTACAGTGCTTACAGTCAAGTGGAAGGACCGATATATCTAATCACTGGTATGGAATTGGAGTCACTCTCAAGGTAAAAATGATCTTTCTTGATTAATGTTTTGTATGTTTATTTTGTGTGTGTATATATATATATTGTTCCTATCCTCATTGCTTTTATCATCGCATCAAGAATCTTTTTTTGTCTTGAGAAATTCTCCTCCGGTTGCAAAAGAGGAATTGATTTTAAAATAGGTAAATAGGGTTTCCTTAGGAATTGGGAGGTCCTCTTTAAAGAGGAGGAGTCAAACTACGATTAAAATTATTACTCCGCATGACTAAATTAGTTCAGTCAACTTAATGCACCACATCAACATTCTGTTATTCTAATAACAAGTGTTAACAACTAAGTGACTGATTTATTATAAATCGATAATGTCAGTGACCAAATCATTACTTTTAAAACATCAATAGGAAAAAGAAAAACTTACTCAAATTTTAGTGACCATTTATAACCCTTCTTTATATTTTGGTGATCGAGTTGTCTTTTTTATGTATTCATGACATACGAGTACCAATTTGCACCCTATAAGCATGTACCTATGTAATTTGTTAATATTTTGGTCATTGAGTAGTCTTTTTCATATTGTGAACGCAATGAACATATTTGTTCATACCACATATTTGACTCTAGCTCCTCGGTAAGTACGATGAAATTACGAGACAAATTTCAATTTCCTATAAAAGCCTTGCATGAATACCTTAACCAATGCAAAACCCAAAAACAAAGCTTATTGAGTAGAAAATGCAAATGAGGCGAATATTATTGGTAGGTGCCGCTCTCTTAGCCACCATAAGCTCTGTACTTTGTGCCAAACCCTTTACTTACTACGCACTCGTTCTCCAATGGCCGCCTTCTGTTTGTAATTCCCTGCCTGCGGGACACACGTGTATTCATGACATCCCCGAAAAGTTTACCGTCCATGGTCTATGGCCACAACGTCAAGATGCCAGCCCGGTGCATCCCACCGATTACGAGTGCAACGAAAACTTTTTTACGGCTACAAGACTTGACGTGAGCAGATTTTAAGATTCTTCTTTCTTGAATTCTTGAAGTGCAATTGAAACTTAAATGTCCAGTTTGACTAAAACTCTATTTTTATGCATAAATTTTCCTTTAACCATTTAGCATACTAATGTATAAGAATTTACATATGAAAATCATATAAATATCCTACTTATCTTTAATCTATGGATCGCATGCATGTTTTTGTATTAACTTTTTGTTTGTTATTATTGAACTTGTAGAATATTTTGACGAGGAAATCATTCTACACCAACTTAAAGGAAGATTGGCCAAACCTTTTGGATGAAGCGGGTGGTAATTCGGCATTGTGGTCAATTGAATGGAACGGGCATGGGATCTGTTCTGATCTCCAAAACGATCCTCTTGCCTATTTCAAATGTGTTACCGTTCTCTTCAACGACCGAAAATTCGGAAATTTAAGACAAGGTGATTTATTTATACTCACATTTCATCTTTTTTGAGTAAGTCAATTAAATAAGATGAATGATTAGAGGTTTGGTTTTGGCCCTCCAACCAGATGTGGGAATTGAAGTTGGAAAATCTTATACATTAGCCGAAATACAGAAAAAATTGAATGACAAATATAAAGTAAATCCTCAAATTGCATGCAACAAAAACACTCAGCTGTGGGAGATCCGTTTCTGTTATAAAAGGGTAGAAGGAAGAGAACCTGCTGACCTTGAAGACTGCCCCAAGTTATCGGATACAAAATATCACTGTGATCAAAACGGAATTCAGCTCCCTCATGCTCCTGCTCCTTCTCCCGCTTCAACTCCACGGGTGATATCCGAAGAGGCGCATTCAGAATTATAATTTTAGTTACGATTAGGGAATTAAATTGCGGTTGCAGTTGAGTTTAGTCTTGCTTATGCAGTATGTCCTGGTGATTTGCTGTGTTGTGTCCTTTCTAGTTGTTGTGTTTGTTTCTGTGTTCTTTCTAGTTTTACTGTCTTTTGTGGATCTGTTTTCGGTGTCACTTTTACAGTTGTATCCTACTGCTTGCAGTGGTTCATCTTTAATAATGAAACTTTATCCATAGATGAGGGGTGCATTAATCTTGATCTAAGTGATATTCAACCTTATCACATTACCGTAGAGTAAAAATTATAAGAAAACTGATTGAGAACTTACTGTCGAGATCTTAACTGTCCAACACATCTTTACTGCCACCTCAACTCCCACCATGCTTTGAACATGCTTTGTTTGATGTTACATTAACGGATCAAAATTTTATATCATTTGAATCGATTATAAATGAATGATATAGCACTCAAATTTAACCTATATCTTACAATCAAGAACTCATTTGCATATATAACCTTAAAATTTGAGGGGACGTTTCGAAACCGGTAAATTTACTGCCAACTCAGTTTCGAAACTTTTGAGAAAATTTTCAACTTATGAATAAGTTTAGAACTTGAGCAAATTTCGAAACCGGCGACATGCAAGACTGAGGTAGGCATATGTGTACAAACGTGCTAAAAGGATTTTTTTTCACACCTCTTCATGTCACACCAATGAGCCAATTAGTTGTTATTCAACACTCTTCTTGATTTAAGTAGTTAAAAATCAGATCTAGATTTTAAAAGTTTCAATTGATATGCTAGAAAGGTGAGGTTGATAGATTTTAGGGACACTTATCTTTTAGAGGTAAAATTGATATTTTATTTAAAATTCAAGAAATAATCTGATATTCCCTAAAGTCTAAGGATAAAATTAATATTTTATTTAAATTCAAGGTTGAATTAAAAGTTAACCCTTTTACTTGTTTATCACGTTATCAAACTAACCGTATTTGACACCCCAATGACTAAAGTTATATAACGATAACGTAAATGACCTAAAATCAAAAGCAAACACTTATGAAACAAAAGTGACTATTTCGATAGTTTAACCTAAAATTAAGTAAATTAACAGTTTTCTATTTTTTATTTAACTTTTAGTTTAATCTCAAAAACTGTTATACCTAATTTGATGAGGTCACATGTTATGGAATTAGTATTAAATACTTTTATTAAACTATTAGTTTGATCTCAAAAACGGTTATACCTAATTTGATGATATCACATGTTATGGAATTAGTACTAATACTTTTATTAAACTATTAGTTTTATCTCAAAAACGGTTATACCTAATTTGATGATGTGACATGTTATGAAATTAGTATTAAATACTTGTAATTTGGTTTAAACATTTTCAATATTCTTATACTATAATAAAATTTAATCCTAATATTTTAATTTTGATATATTAAATTCTTATACCAATAGCCGAGAGGGAAAAAGAAAGAGTAAGAGTATGAAATGGGGGTATACTCGTGTAAGGAGAGAGAATCTTTTTATATATTTTGTTCTATCGAGTCACATGCAATTAAAGTTTGAATTAAAAAATTAATTAATCAAGTTGACGAGTTATATTTTATAAGTTTAGTTCATTAAATTTTTTAGTTAAGTTGAGTTGTTTGAGTTTCTATTTAAATTTGATTTTAAATATTTACAATATTTTGGTATTAAGTGATTTCAATTTAAACATGATTTTTATGATCATATATGATATACATATATATTTCACGTGTATATATATATTATATATTTTAGAGTTTTGATTCGAACTTAAAAATATATCCACTAAATATTATAAATTTAATTTATTCGAATTATATTTCATAACGCAAAATTTTTTTTATAGGTTGGATGGAATTTATAAAATTACAATCACGTTAAAATGGATCAAATTAAAAAGTTTAGAATTTTTAAGTTAAAAGTCAAATTTTATTCACCTACATTTAATTTCTCGGGATTAGGGTGAGTATACATAGTGTCTACCAGTGAGGTAATCATCATGAACCTAAAATGCTAACCTATTAGCCATTTATCCCATTTAGTTGGTGGAGGTGACCGGAGAGGTCAAACAATTTCATTTGTTGGTTTTCGAGCTGTCTAGGAGCGACAAGATGCATATTTTCGGAAGTGTGGGGTGACCGGTGGAAATTATACCGTACGAAAGTTTTAAAATAATGTTAAAAAATATGTTACTGAAAATATTATTATTTTTAATATTTACAATAAAAAATTATTTAAAATGTTTTTTAATCTAAAATATTAATGTTTTTAATATTTTCAGTAAATTGTTTAATATTAACATTTATTGTAGAAAAAATAATATTTTAGGTAGTATTTTATCGGATATATTAACAAACCCAGTAAAACACCTAATAATAATATTTCTGGTAGAAATAATAATGTTTTGCGTAATTTTTTATCGAAAATGTTAAAAAAATAAAAACATTTCCGGTAACGCTTTTCCTTAGCCATATATTAGGTTGCCCCACGTGAGACTTCCCGTCGATGAAGGGTTGTGATATAAAATTTTATTTTAGAGGTGATGGATAAATTTTTAAAAGGAGCTAAATTTATAAATATTTAGGAGAATAAAAATAATTTTTAATAAAAATATCAATAATTTGTGATTATGACAACTGTTCTTACCTAAGAATTATTAATTATGCTTCAAGTTGTGATTATAGAATTTTAGGGACTTTGCTCGTGGCTTATTCAATAAGTTCGTCAACCCATGAGTTTGAATGGAAAAGATTTCTTTTTAAATGAAGGGGTAATTTATGAGAATAAATGAATAACAGTCATTTTATACTTTAATTATTAAAATAATATTATTTCTAAAATAGTATATTTTCGGTTCGTAGGACAAATATAAGTTTAGTTAGCAGATAGTGCCTATAGGGATTACCTAAGGAAATATAAATTAATATAAGGTTAAAATACAACACAACCATAAATTTGAAAAAACTTTAATAAAATTGATTTACTGCAACTGAAAATGTTGATTTATACTTAATATATTAATTACAATAGCGTAATCGATAAATTTATTTGATAGGTAAGTATTGATACTTTTCCACAAGTATAGATAATTTCAAATTTAAAAAAGAATAAATGAAAAGACTGTAAAATATCAATATTTTCCCACAAATATCGATACTTTCAAATTTTTAAAAAACATAGAAAAATGAAAAGGCTGCAAAGTTTCAATATTTTCCATAAATATTAATACTTTCAAATTAAAAAATAGAAAAAATATCGATTTTTTAAAATAAATATTGTTGTATTTTTTTTTATATTTCGATACTTTAACATTTGATGGATGGTAAAATATCGATATTTTTTCTATTATGTTCGATACTTTAACATTTGATAAGTTGATAGAAATTAAAATGTCAATACTTGTTTATCTGAAAAAATTGTTCAAGTTAAGATCGAAAGTTACTTATTTGAAAATTTTTATTAAAATATCGTTGTAAAAATATCGATAATATAATAATAATTAAAACTTAGCCAGTAATAAAATACTTGTAACCTAGTACGTTAAATTAGTTACTGGCTTGTTTAAAAGTATAATAATGTACGATAAAATATTTCAACTTAACCGGTTAAAATAAAATACATGCAATGTATTACATTAAACTAGCTACCGATTTGTTTAAAGATATAATAATAATGTAAACGATAAAATAAAATAAACGCAACATATTAAGTTAAACTATCTAGTGATTTGTTTAAATATATAATAATAATGTAAACAACAAAATATTTACAAATTAACCGGTTAAAATAAAATAGGTGCAACCTATTACGTTAAACTAGTCATATGTTTGTTTAAAGGTATAATAATAATGTAAACTGAATAAAATAGGCACAAATTATTACATTAAACTAGCTACTGGTTTGTTTAAAAGTATAACAATAATGTAAAAGGTAAAATAAAATAGACAACCTATTACGTTAAACTAGCTGTCGGTTTGTTTAAATGTATAATAATAATGTAAATGATAAAATATTTACAACTTAACCAGTTAAAATAAAATAGGCGAAACATATTTGTTAAACTAGTTACCGATTTGTTTAAAGGTATAATAATAATGTAAACGGTAAAATATTTATAACTTAATCAGTTAAAATAAAATAGACGCAACATATTACGTTAAACTAGCTATTGGTTTGTTTAAAGGTATAATAATAATGTAAACGGTAAAATATTTACAACTTAACCGTTGATTTTTTTAAATTCGAAAGTATTGATACTTGTAGGTTGATGTGGGGGCGGGGGAGTTCATCAACTTTTTATAAAATTTAGATACATCATATATTAATTATCGATATTTTAACATTCATCAACTTTTTCAAATGCTAAAGTATTGATAACGGTCATAAAAAATCTAAAATTTTAAAGTATTGATACCAGGTATTAATAATTTTCTAAATACGTATCGATACATATACAATAAATCGATATTAATAATTTCCATTATCGATATTGAGTATAAGAGTTTCGATATTTTTAATCCCGTTTCAACTCATTTTTTTTATCGGTTACCTTAGTTAAAACAATAACGGCTACATAAGGAAATAAGAGAAAACGAAGTATTAATATTTTCTATAAGTATCAATATTTTTACAAAGATATTTTAATGGAATTTTTTAAATAAGTAACTTTCTATCTTAACATTTTAATTATTTTTTCTTCAAATTAACACGTTTTAAAATGCTAAAATATCAAACATCATAAAGACAATATTGATATTTGCTAAAGTATTGACCATCTAATCATAGTAGTATCGATATTTATTTTAAAAACAATTTTCATCCAATGATACAATTACATATTAAATCGCTACTGATTTCATTAAACACAACTTTAATATTCCA